TGGGGGGAGGGGGCGCAAGGGCCCTGCTGGCAAGCCTTTCCTTAAGAGGCCGGGCGGGGGGGGAGAGGAAGGCCCTTCGCCTTGGAACTGCGGGCCATTGCCCCCCTCTTCCTTTTCCTTCTTCTGCAGCTCCTCCTCCTCTTCCTCCACCTCCACTGCCGTCCGTTTCCTCCTCAGATCTCAGCTGCCTGGAGTCTCTAATCCACTCCGACCTCTTTCCTTTTTTATACCCAGGCAACGTCATCCTGGATTGAATTCCCGGGTCTATATCGGATCGCGAAAAAAAATAGAATTCTCCCTTTGGGCGGGGGGAGGGGACGTGGAGGAGGTGGGGCCGATGGGCGTGTCCGCAGGAGAGGGGGAGGAATCGGGGATTAAGTCTCAAGGAAAGGCACGTAATCCTGGCCATTAGTGGGTCGCTCTTTGGTCCTCGGCTCTTCCTCGCTGCGCGTGAATCCCTCGCCCGCCCCCGAGTTAGGGTTGATCTCTCGTTGACTGCTGCTGCTAATTGCTGCTCGTGTTAATCTGGCTAATGGCGTTGCAGAGAAGCTGCTAACACCCCCCTCCCCGCCGCTTTTTCTACCTCCTGCCCCAGCCCCCTTTTCTTCTGAGCCCTTTTTCTGGGGCCTTCGGGCCTTAGGAACCCAAAGCACAGTGGAGGCAAAGATGAAAGACTTCTTGGGGTCCTGATTTCTTGCCCAAAGGGTTACATTACATTGAAGCCCTGCGCAATGCTATGCTCACAATTCCCGGCAAGAAGTCCTTTTCTGCTTCCTTGGGGCACACTGCCCAGCATGCAGTTTTCATTCCCAGCCTCTACAATAAGGTCTGTTGCCGTCTTCTCCATACTCATATTCTTATAAGGCCGCACTTTCCACAAACCTCAATTCACAGTATTGATCCTGAATGCCTTTATTTGGAATCACATTTCTAAGCTTTCTATTAATGCGAAATTTTAGGGACTCCCATCGGACGCTCACAGGACATTTCCTGATGACTTTAGCGAATCTCCCTTCTTCCAAGGGGAAAGAAGGCTGCTGACGAGAAGGGCCAAGGGGTGCGGGGAGACTGCTGTTCCGCAGAGACCCAACGGAACAGCAGTCTC